AGGGACCTGGGAGTCCTGGTGGACAACAGGATGACCATGAGCCAGCAATGTGCCCTGGCGGCCAAGAAGGCGAATGGCATCCTGGGGTGCATCAAGAAGAGTGTGGCCAGCAGGTCGAGGGAGGTCATCCTCCCCCTCTACTCTGCCCTGGTGAGGCCGCATCTGGAGTACTGCGTCCAGTTCTGGGCTCCCCAGTTCAAGAAGGACAGGGAACTGCTGGAGAGGGTGCAGCAAAGGGCTACAAAGACGATTAGGGGATCAGAACATCTCTCTTAAGAGGAAAGGCTGAGGGACTTGGGTCTTTTTAGTCCAGAGAAAAGACAACTGAGGGGGGATCTTATTAATGCTTACAAATACTTAAAGGGAGGGTGCCAGGGTGATGGGAACAGTCTTTTTTCAGTGGTGCCCAGTGATAGGACAAGAGGTAACGGGCACAAACTTGAACATAGGAAGTTCCATCTTAACATGAGGAGGAACTTTTTACTTTGAGGGTGGCAGAGCACTGGCACAGGCTGCCCAGAGAGGTTGTGGAGTCTCTGACTCTGGAGACATTGAAAACCCACCTGGATGCCACCTGCTGTAGGTGACCCTGCTCTGGCAGGGGGGGGTGGACTAGATGATCTCCAGAGGTCCCTTCCAACCCTGACCATTCTGTGTGATTGGGTCTGAACTTGGGAATTGCTTTCATTACCCAAAAGACAAGTAACTTGGAAAACTCCACCTTATTGCTATGTTCCTATACAATCTTTTTTAACATTAAAACATGCAAGGACAAGAAAAATACACAGCTGAAAAATCCCCACATACAACAAGGTGTCATCAGAAATGCCTGCTGGACCATGGAAACCACAGAGCAAACAGGGTTTTAACTTGACTGCATAGAGCAAAGCACTTGTTTCAAGTCTTCTTCACGGTGTTTGTCATTTATGGAAAAAAAAAAAAGAAAAAAGGGAAAAAGGGGGAGGGGCGGGGGGGAGAGCCAGCTATGGCTCTGCTTTGCGGAGGCAGTTCTTAAGCTCAGAGCACTCTGACCTTACCCTTACTCTGGCATTGACTTGTTCTGTCTGAGCAACCTTCTCTCTTCGCATCAGGAAGGACTACAGGATTGACAAAGGTCAAAGGCACATGGGAGAAAACAGAGGCTCTGAAGGAAGAGGAGGTTAAACACACTGTGGAGGAAAGGACAGAGGGGTGAAGAAGAAGAACAGGAAAATCAGAACTGATTAGATAAATAAATATAGTCTAATGGAAATAGCACAAGCCCTCTTATTAAATTATTGTGTGGTTTCAAATGTCTGGTCTCTAAAGGTGAATATAGAAGTTGGTATCTTCCTTATGCACACTCCAGGTTTTACTTAGTGATCTAGCATAAGAGAGCAGCCAAGAATGCTTTAGCATTGGATGCTCAAATGCCAACCAGCAGATAAGGAATGAGCAGCTGAAGCTGTAGCCAGCTGGAGAGCTGGAGGTTCTGCCTCACATAGGCAGTGAAAGCACACGCTGATCGTCTGTTGGTGTTTATCTGCTCTGATATGGCATCACATCTGACCCTTCAAAGTAATTTAAATCCCAATGATCTTCAAATTCTGCGATCACGATTCTGTACTTCATTCATTTCCATCTGTATTCCAGGTAATTATGGTGAATCCTGATCTTTAAAGATCAGCACCTTTGAACCTTGATACAGATAAAAGGCACGTTAGAACCAGGTGTGCATTATGCCTATTCAAGTTGTGCCCAAGCCACTCACTGGCATGACATGCAAACCATGTTGTGAATCAACAAAATGCACAAGTACCATATCTAAAGAATTTGTTTGGACAAACCAAAACAGCCTGCTTGTATTTTTCTTCACTTCGAGGGCAAAATTACCACTGACACCAGCCAAGACAGGAATTCTCCGACTCATCAAGGTTATATGATATGTCAGTTTATATATGCAGCTGCAGCATGCTGACCGTGACTGGCCTGTCTAAGAGCTCAGGAAACTGTGCAGCCATGTGAGCAACCAGCAGGTCATGGGCATGCAACTTTTTTGAGGGAAAAAGCAAATCAGAGAAGGACCAGACAGGAGTTTTGTGTTGGTTTTGTTGTTTTTTTTTTCCCCCACAGCATACTTCTTTGGCTGCTTGGTACAGTCAAAACAGCAAAATAATTTCTCTAAACATTTGTTTTTTTGGAGTGTTAGGGGAATCAACAAAGACTTGGTCAGCCTCATTTCAGTATTTGCGTTCGTGCCTGGCTGCTGCAGAATGTAACACCTCGCTTTCTCTGGAAAGCGAGCAAGCGTTCAGAACACATTACTTACAGGCTGCAGCTCCTGGCAAAGTCACCTTCATGCCACATCACTCGCAGGTAAGGAACACTGCACACTGACTGCAGTTTATGAGGAAACTCTCCAAAGCCACTTGTCCCAGCTCCTCCAATATCCTCCAATACCTACAGGGCAAGATCCTACTCAGGTGTAAGAGGCTCATGAATTATGTCCTGTTGCTTTTAAGGATAAGAAGGGCCATTACAGCCTTGCGATTTGATTTTGATATAAAAAAAAATATGTGACAAAAGGCCAACTTTTCCCTTCTGAGGGTACTTTCTCCCTACGCTTCTCCTACAATCAAAGAAGCAGAAGGTTCCTGTAGATGGCTACTGAGAAGACTATCTCCGGCTCCTCTAGTATCCAGCTTAACATGCAAATGCAAATAGTGTTCAAGCCACAGCTGCAGCAAGTGACTTTCTGATGCCTTCTCCAAATGTTTCTCACTTCAGTAATCTGTAATTCTGCTTCCAAGAACTGGGTGGGTTATAGCAGGTTGTGCTTGATCAAATGATTTAAAGAAATAGCAATAAGGAGTTCCCCAGTGCATAACTCAATGACTTGGCTGTATCATTCCACCTCTCAGCTGCCATCTCAGGGCCTGCACTGTAAAGAGCATACCTGGGCTTCAGCCAGCCATCAAGCTAAAAAATATTTTTGTACCTTAAATCAACTCTAGAAGAAATAAAAAATGAGTATCATTTTTCATGCCAAACTACCCAAGGCTCATACAGGATTTCTCCTACAACTCTGAAAAAAACTAACCACAAGACGACATAATTTGGTCTATTTATACTATATCAATTCCACAGGAATAAAAATTCAGGTAACAGAGCTCAGTACAGGGATCAGTTTTATTTTGCAGGAATTCAAGCAAAAATTCAGCTCTGCTTTTGTCAGATGCAGTGTTAAAATTGGAAAAGAATTAAAACATCTGAAGCAGACACACTGCACATTTCTTTCATGGGTTATTTCTTGTGGAACAGGTGTTGATTTCTTTCTCTCCCTTCCAGATCCAAAGGCAAGGCCTAGTCAGGCTGCCAAACTCACAATCCATTCACACTCAAGGTCTGCCATGAGCAATTCTCCTGACAATATATCAGCTTACAAAAAGTTGTCTGCCTTAACTAAAAGCTAAGTTGATGATTCCCCTTCTAAGAAGAGAATATCACATTTCTCCATTTATGCTATCTTGTTAGGTACATAAAAGAGGTGCTATTATTTCCTTCCTAAAATAGCATCATAGAGTTTTCCAGTCCTCTTGACTTGAATCTCTCTGAAGCCAGCTGCCTCGAGGAGCTTGCTGTACTCTGCTGCTGTTCGCTCTTTTCCTTCTGTCTGGACCAACATATTCATCGAATACAGTTGGGTTTCTAAAGGCCCACTTTTATCTTCATTCAGAAGTGATTCAACCAGCAGCACTCCACCACCTGATTGAATAAGGAGAATAAAACACACTCTGAACTCTGAGAAGACAAGGTATTTTTCAGCTGAATTACTAGGCCAGATCCTAACTGTCTGAGTGGGATCGGACCCGGAGTAACGATGAAATCTCAATGTGAGTATGGTCGTTCTCGTTCATTGAATACTTTTGCAGAGTATATAGAGGCTTACAGCAAAAGCATGCATAGTCAACAACATTATAATTGGTCCAGCTCCCTTGCTTACGCGTAACGTCCTGCAACTCGATTGGCTAAGGCCCTCTGTCCACGCACCTCTTGTTTTACTCTTCTCCTGGCTTATCTTGTCCCTGATTCCATTCTGCTTAGTACTTTTCTTCCTCCCTTTTTGGGCAGCCAAGGGGGGGCCAAGGACGTTGCACATAGGCCTCCGTGCTTAGTTCAAACCCTGGGTTGCTCATCGGAATTAAGTTATGCCCTTTTTCATTCAGGAATGTCTCCACAATTCCCCCTTCTTCTTGCGCCATGCCCCACGTTGGGCGCCATTTGCGGACGGACCCAGACGCAGACCAATATGATCAATGCTGAAGACGTTTTATTAAAATACTTAAGCCATTATATACTTTTTACTACAACGTGGGCTAGCTCCGCGGCTTGTGCTCATTGGTTTCTAGACTTATACACACAAACTATTATTGGTTAAACACAGCTGTAACTTATTATCTACATTTTGTTACTATTTCTGCCAAGTCAGTCTTTTAATTAATACACATTCTGCATCTGTTGGGGAGTAGCGGTAGTTTCAGTGTCAGCACATGATTTCCTCTTTCATGTTGACCTTCAGTACGTGTCCATTGTTTTCCAAAAAGTTTCCCACACCTAACCTTTAGTTTCAGGAAGAAGCAGCCCCTATGTTAAGCCATATTTCATCATCACAGAAGACAACAAAAGAGCAAAAGCATCAGAGCATGCCTCTGCTTGGCTACATAGGTACTGATGTACCAGGGCTGAAGGGAATGCTACGGCCAGGATGAAATTTCCCATTTACCCCAGCTGAAATCCACAGGAGTTTAGTGATTATACTGAGAATCTGGCCCTGTAGGCAGTGTTTTCAAAGCTCCAAGGGTTCAGTGTGATGCTTAATGGCATTTTCACTCTGATGTATACACTTATTTATCTAAACAATACCATAAATCGCCGATCCTTACATTTAAATGCCTTGAAAGAGGAGTCCCCGTAGAGAAGGAGACTAAAACTGGAAGCCAGACAAGGAGAACTTAAACCAGGCCCTATTTGGCTGAGCTGCACATGGCTGGTTTAAGAAAGCAAAAGACTAAACCCCTTCACTGAAACTCTGCCACCCAAACCAAGCATTGAGACTGGTGTCCGTCATGTTACTGACAAGTGAGTCTCTCTGCTCTTCAAAAGCTCACACCTACCAGGTTTGCAAGCCTTGAAGACTTTTGCCAGCAGTTGCCCACATTTCTCATCATCCCAATCATGCAGTATCTTGGATAAAAGATACAGTTCAGCTTCTGGAATTGTGTTGTTAAAGAAGTCTCCTGTAAAGCAAGAATACATGTATTACACAAAACCCCCAAAACACAGCAGCAAATATTTTCAGCTCTGTCTTGTTCTAAATACTCGGGGCTTGCCAAGTCCATCACCCACAGCAGACTGCAACAGAGTTGGGTAAAAGTCCTCTGTGGCACTCCATAGGGGATTTTGTTCTTGTTCAGTATCAAGAAGGTCTGACATTTAAAAGCAGCAGATGATCTGAAACAGCCTTTGATACACAGGAAAGCATTTGAGTATTTTTTCGCCAAATACAGGAATTCAGATTCATAAAGCATTAAGGAGAGGAGACAATTTCTCATGTTTTCTGTCATGGAAAAAACGGAAGAATTTTCCCTTATCTACGCAAATTTTCAAAGACCTTCAGTAATCACAGAGCTACATCATAAATCCATAATGAAAAAATACACATCTCACCTCCTAGCACTAGCTTCATCATCGTACCTTTTGCTCAGCACCTGCTGTACTGTATTCAAATTTTTCTTTCTGCATCTTACTTTGTCATTTCCACTTCCATTTCTTTGCATCACGGGCACACATAACATTTCCTGTGTTTATCCATCTTTGTTTTTATATACTCCCTTCCTTCCTCACAGCTTCTTTTCTCTCTTTGAGCGTCAAGCAACATCAAGTCATTCCAACACTTTGAAGGCTTTTGTAAACATCAAAAATTATATCTCCCTACACTCATTTTCATCATAGTTGGTGTGAAGACCACGCAAGATCTACAGACTGGCCAAGAGGAATATGGGCTAGTACATCCACATTCAAAGCCTGAAATATCTTAGGACTTGCAAGTCAATCAATCATGACCAGAGACGGAAAACCCCTTGCTCAGAGCACATCTGCCAGGAGGTCTGCACAGGAGAAAAGGGAGTGTTAGGAAGATTTATAACATGACATGCTAGTTTTTCAAAACTGCAGGACTTTTTTTTTCTTTTTTTCTTTTTGTTAAAGTAACCTTGTTCTGAAGAAATCAAATAGTTCTGTTCAGGAGCAAAGAGCTTCTGGGTTGCTGAATAACTGAGTTGTGCCTCTGATAGAAGGCAGCTGCAGCTGCACAACTGGGACAACCCTGTGGTAGCAGTGAACTGCAGAGGTGAGCTGGGGAGGCTGCAGTCTGGGACACTCTGCCCACGTAAGGGGCAGCTGGAGACCTGAACCTCCAGTGTGGTACCTCTGAGCAGAGACAAGGGGCTCAAGAGCAACAGCTGTCACAACACTACCCTGCTGTCCACACTTACCTTCATGGAAAGCGATACGATGCTCCTCAGGGGGAACAAATTGCTCTTTGGCCACTTGCACAACTTTCGGCAGGTCATAAATTGTGACTGTGGAATTTGGGTACAAAGAAACACACTCCCTGGCCAAAGCTCCTCCACCCCCTTTGAGGAGAACAAAAGAAGGTCAGCGTTGACACAAAACCAACCTGTTCAGCAACACCCCCATGAAGCAATGCAGGCAGCAGTGCATTCAGCCTCATGGAAGCTGGCAAGTTTGCTCCCCACATGTTGCTGAAAGGGAACAGGAGGGACAGGAGAGTTCACCATCTCCGTTGGCTCTGCAGGAAGCTCCAGTGCCCCCAGCACCCAGGTGTGTGGGGATAGCCCCAGCCCTTACAGCTCTTATGCACCCCCTCAGCCAGACCTAGCTGTGCACGCTGGAAGGTGGAAATGAAAACCAGAGCCACTAAAGCAGGCGCTGGGCAAGCAGTGGTGCCTCACAGCTCCCATGAATCCTGGCAGCACCCAGCAGCGCTGGGACAGTGGTGTAAGAGGCTGCAGTCTCTCAAGCTAACGGCACTGAAGGGCAGGAGGGAAAGCGTCTGGCGCCAGAAGAATGTATCAAGCAAGGCAGGAAAAAAACACCAAACCTGCCACGTACGCAAGAGCCACTACTCAAACAAATGGGTCTCTGCAGAGAAAAGCATTCAGCTTCCTAACGCTCTCACCACGCTCACATTTCTCTTTGTGACCCAACCAAGACAGTAAAATGCTCCCTTTACTTCTGACAAGATTCTGAGATATGTCCTGCTTTCCACTGCTGTACCCGTCATACAATATAGGAGTTATTTTTCTTTTCAGAGCCTGTAAAAGCAGACAGTTCCGAGGCTTGTTAAAGAAGATGTGCTGACGCTCACCTCCCAGGTCATAGATCTGCCTGAAAGGGGAAAGGTCAAATGCAGCAAGAACATCTCTGCCACATATGCTCCACACTGAGTTCTGGCCAGCCATGAATTTCAGCATTTCTTCTTCTGATCTAGTAATGCAAACAGACACAACACATAGAAAAAGTAACTTACAATATCCTCGGTGATTCCTATAATATAACTATTACTACAAGTTTTAGCTTCAGCACAAATCTCTGGTTTTATTAACACAGAATATATTCTTTTTGCATACAAACCTACCTTGAGTCTTACTGTAGCAGAAGGGTACAGATATGCATTCATGCATTTAAATAGGTAATTAAGACTAGTGAAGTCCAACAGTGTATTAAGCTGCTAATTCTTAGGCTTCCAAGGGATTTTATTTCCTTCAGCTACCATTGCCCCTGTGCCACAGACCTGTGATATGTTTTTCAGAATAGGAAATTATATACTTCTATTCAAAGTATCAGACAGTGTCCCAGTAATGGATATTGTTGAGAAAGAAAAATGCTGCATGATAGTTGTGGTCAGTGGGATTTCTCACATCATCATATTTAATTGTCCTGTGCCATAATTAAAAACACTGATTTTATCTATAAGAATAAAATTTCTATAAATATACTAATGATTACCTGTACATTGCTCCAAAAGGGTCTTTAGATGAAATGCCAAAAGCTCTTTCATATTGGTTTCTTCCTTCTCTAAAATAACAACCAAAAAAAGCATATGAGCATGGATTTGTTTTTCTTTTACCCCAAACACACCTTGGGACTATAGTTTCAGCTAGTTCATCACTGTGGAAGGTGCTTGCCTTTGTACAGAATATATAGAATAGCGTAGTTTGGGTTAGAAGAGACCTTAAAAAGTCATCTAGTCCAACCCCCCTGCAATGAACAGGGGCATCTTTCACTAGATCAGGTTGCTCAGAGCCCCATACAACCTGACCTTGAATGTTTCCAGGGATGGGGCATCTATCACCTCTCCAGGCAACCTGTTCCAGTGCTTCACCACCCTCATCGTAAAAAATATCTTCTATCTAGTCTAAATCTTCCTTCTTTTAGTTTGAAGCCATTATCCCCTGTCCTATCGCAACAGGCCCTGCTACAAAGTTTATCCTCATCTTTCTTATAAACCCCCTTTAAGTAATGAAAGGTCACAATAAAGTCTCCCCAGAGCCTTCTCTTCTCCAGGCTGAACAGCCCCAACTCTCTCAGCCTCATAGGAGATGTGTTCCTTCCCCTGATCATCTTTGTGGCCCACCTCTGGACCTACTCCAACAGGTCCATGTCTTTCCTGTGCTGAGGGCTCCAGAGCTGGATGCAGTGCTCCAGGTGGGGTCTCACCAGAGCGGAGTAGAGGGGCAGAATCACCTCCCTTGACACTTCTTATGCAGCAGCCCAGAATACAGTTGGCCGCCTGGGCTGGGAGCGCACATTGCCGGCTCACGTCCAGCTTTTCATCCACCAGTACTCCCAAGTCCTTCTTGACAGGGCTACTCTCAGTCCCTTCATCCCCCAGCCTGTACTGATACCAGGGGTTGCCCCGATATAAATGATGAAATGCGTGTTGCCAGCTTGTTTGTAACGGCTGTAAAGGCACCCCAAAATACGCTGATATATATTTCTCAACCTTTCAAAAGAATTACTGGTTCTTTTCAAGGTCAGGTGGGATGTGGCTTTAAGCAACCTGATCCAGTGGAAGGTGTTCCTGCCCATGGCAGGGGGATTGGATAATCTTTAAGGTCCGTTCCAACCCAAACCACTCTGTGATTCTATGATTTATGGGAACCCATCTCAGGTAAAAGTACGAGACTGATACAATCATCGCCCACACACATACCCCGTGTTTGATCATCAGTTGCAAGGACTGGAATAAGTGAGGCTCCAGCCTCTTCCTATACACCTTTGCAACAGAAGTATCCTTAGCCATCATTACTCATCATTTACTTTGTTGATGCCTTCTCAAGTAAGAGCCACAGTAATGATCAAGGCCTTTCCCACTGGTCAAACACACAGAAATCTGATTCTTAGATCATCTCTACCATCAGAAGGAAAAAGAAAACAAGAGCACACGCAAATGGAAAACAATAAAAAACAAGAAGACATACTGGCCGTGCTAACAGTCGAAATGATCTGATTTTTTTTCTTTCTGAGAACCAGCCAGAATCTTCGTTGTGCCCTTTCCCTGAGACACACCACTCAGAGCAGCCACACAGGTGCTGCAAAGCAGTTTGCAACAGACAGCATACAACACTCCTTACCTCACAGCATCAGCCAGGTAGTGCCAGCACAAGTAAACTGTATTGGAGTAATACATCATAATATGATACTGAGACTTGGGACTTGATTTGGTTAGGTAGATGTTGGAAATGTCTGTGTTTCTGTAGAGGGCTAGAGGGTGAAATAAATACATTTACTAACATGTATGATATACTACCTTGCCAAGCCTATTGTACAGCATGATATTTATCACCAGAAGATGTCTATATGACCAAAGACATTGCTTCTACAATCAATCCTTCCACTGCAATGAGCGGTGGCTGAGGGCTGCTGAAATGTGTGTTGTCCCAATCAATGTGAGTAAACACTATCTACCTACACTTACTCCAGAACCTAACATTTCTTTCAAGAACAGCAAGAGCAATGCCTTACAAATGTCATCATTTACCTATAGGCTTGTGCTATCAGAGGAAGTTTTTGGTATGCTTTATTTAAATGAGAAGCCCTTGCAGACAAGTCTTTTTCCCCATCAACAAGGTCAGTAAGTGGGAGACAAGTCCCCAAAACAGCATGCCAACCACAACTACCCTCTCCCAGTTCACTAGGGCACGACCTGCTGCAGACAGATGAATGCCTAAAGGAGTCAGAAGTCTCCCCCGCTTCCTCTAATGCATCTGCAGTGGCATCACCCACCCACAAGACTGGCATACAAAAGGAATGTAAAAGATAGATCCTGCTCTCCCCTGAACTCATCAGGCATCTTGCCCTAAAACAGGGCAAGGCAACACAAGCCAGAGCAGGGGACACAACTTGCAAGACTCTGGCTAGTCCTGACCAACTGTTCGATGGCCACAGATCCCTTCTGACCACATGGACTCAATGTCTTTGATGCAAGGGCAAACTTACATCACCTCTCAGTTCAGATCAGCAACATAACAAAATACTTCACACAGTGGTAAAATCCCAAAGAAAAACAGAACACGTTTTTAAATCACGCTGTTGTCCATCTACCCAGGCATTTTGTTTTAAGGTTTAAAATCATGCCCACACCTCAGAATTTTCTTGAGACCAGCTCTGCAGAGACCCTGAATATCTTCTCCAAGGTCACCTGAGGCTCTTTCATAAAGAAGTTTAGGGATATAGAGCCCTTCACCTGGGTTTTAATTTACACCTTTAATCATGCTGACATTTTCTGCTCCTCTTTCAGTTGAAGAGGGGATAGCATTCCCAAGTGATTCTCTCCATCCAGCTATGGTAATTGGCCTAACACTAGATATCACCCCTCCCCAGACACCTTGCCTCACTTGCAAAACCATCAGAGGTTTAAGTCTTTTAGTCTCTTCCCCTTCTTCTGCTTTTATTACCTCCTTCTTGTGTCAGCTCTACTGCCAAGAGCTTCAATCCCACACAGGCATCCAGCAGTCTTTCCATTCCTGTGGTGCTGGTATGCAAGCGTGCAGCAATGGCATCTGAAGACAGAGGCTCTCCTGACTCCAGCAGAAGATCAAACACCCCCAACTCACAGGCAGTGAACATAATCTGAGGGTAAGGAAAGGTGGGAGTGAGGGATCAGGTGAAAGCACCATACCCTACTCCATTTCTAAAGCTGCTTCATTGGGAGAAAATATACACATAGTTTGTTTTTTGGTTTTTTTTTCACATAAAATCATATTTTGTATAAACAAGTCCAATAATTAAATTGAAGTTTCTCTGAACACCGATAATACCATACAGTGCTCGTAGTGCACCTTCTTTCATTTCTTTTCCTTTTCTGGCAAAGCCAGCCAATGTTTTTGGCTCACAAAGGTGCACATTTAGAGACCAGGTTTTGAGTGTGAATGTTCTTGCCTCTTCCTTAGTTTCAGAGTACATTCTCATAGTCTCTCTTGCTTTTTGTCTGGAAAGCACAAAGGCAAGACTATGTGGTGGTGGGTTTTTCTATTGTTGTTTTTGTTCTTTAACTAAGGATCTAACGTATGCTCCAGTGAACCCTGGAGACTATCCTATGGCTTGCAGCAGGGGGGGATATCCCACTCTATGGACGCTTTTCAGGGACCGACATGCACAGCTACCATTGTCTCCCTGAGGTGGGGAGGTTCGTCTCAGCCAAAAGTACTGCCTCATTCAGGTCAGCAGAATTGCCCCATCTTTTCATAGAGAAGGTATGTAACATCTCCAGGAACAACCCTTAACTTTCAGACAGACATATATAACTATACATAAGAAAAACATCCTTCTTTAGCTGTATACAGTCAAGTTTAAAACAGTAACAAAGGCATCAACTCAATTGACTGCCTGTACCTACAACGATTTGATAAAGTTCACAGGAAGCTCCTTTTACCCTCAGCAAGAACATGGTTTATCCAAAGTTGAGTTCATTTCTCAAAACCATAGCACCAGTGTTACTTTGGAAAGCACTGGGCACTCCTCTATCTCACCAAGCAAAAGGATTTTTCATTATCCTTTTTTTCCTCTTGTTACTGACAGTTCTGCCTTTCAGGACCCTTAAGATGCAGCAGTATTCACACAACCCAAAGAACATTCCTTCCATTACCATGTTGGCCAGAGATGCAGCAAGGGACAACAGAAAAGGTAAATGAATAGTAAATGAGGAAAAAGTCTCCACTGCACTGGATATTTTAATTTCATGCTCATGTGCTTACACACACAGAAGGGCAAATAACATCAGTATACAGTAACAAAAGTGGAACTACTAGTTCTACCTTTGTGCCTTAACCAAATGCTCTTTGGAAAAACAGCCATTATACCAGGCTCTCCTTCACTTGAAAAGAGTCAAGACACAGGAGCTCTCAAGCTCAGCCTTCTGCATAATACATACAGACAAACCACGGGAGAGGGAAGGAAATTTTTTGAGAAGATATTAAAAAAATCTTGTTCTTTGCATGGTTTAACAGGGAGTGAAACAGGCAACTCAAGTCAGCTCTCCGTTTCTCAAACTCCAAAAATGAAAAGTGGGAAGAAATCCCACCACCAAAGGAACCTTCCACATTTCACGGAGTCAGACAGCAAGTCCTCAGCTATAAACTCCAGGGTTTTTATAAAGCCTAATGCAGAGACAAGGTCTGCTCATCCAAGCCTCCAAAGGTCAGAGAGGTCTTAATAAATGCTAAGTCTATCCTGAGAGGTCAGCTTGTTTTCAAATCTTTTTTCTTGTTAAATTTCATTCCTGTCTAGATGAGCAGACAGGATGCTTTCGTACAAGATGGTTTTGGTCCCAAAGACTTATATTCAGTACCTAAAGTGAGATCCTTGACTATTTCTGTCTGCATACTCTTAGACATCTATCCAAGACTAAGTTGTATTTCTTACCTTTGAGACTAAAAATCCACTGCTGTATTGCAAGATGGTTTGAGGGTAATCAAGGTCTTCTGTGGAACCCATCTCGTTTCTGGACTGAGGCACAGACCCTCTGTCCTCTTAATTTAAATAAGCTTCTTTCCACCAGCACAGAGCACACCAGCTGATCCACTTAATCTTATTGCTTCGGAGAAACACACTGCTTACAAAACCTGTTAGCTAAGTTATTTGGCTTCAATGGATCTTTCTACCAGGTTCAGCTGTTTCTTTGGCTCTTCCATAATCAAGTACAAGGCTAAAGAAGCAGCGTGGATTAAAGCTTGTATTGTCAATTCAGCAGTCAGTCAACACACCGGTACTTCAGAAGCACTTGAAAGCTTGTAAAAGCAATACAGAACAGCATCAAGAACTGGACCTCAGTGCAATGCACCAGGAGTTGATAAACCAAAGTAGAGTCTTTCTCAGGTCTTGTTCAAAAGCAGCTCTACTCCATCAGGCTGGCATTTTGATGCTGGGAGACTTTGCAAGAATAGAAAGCCTTACATATGTTAGTCAGCCCAATGATGTGATGCCAGAGGAAAGACAACAATTTGGCAACACAATTCTTCAAGTGAAATGTGGACACTCCCAGGGGTTTAAAGGTGAAGGAATATCATCTTAGCTCAAAGGGTTAAGGCATACTCCTGGCTAAGCCTGACATCTCACATGGTCCTAATTCCATCACCCCTCACTCAAGCACATACGCAGCACTCAACTTCACCATGCAGAAACAGAGACATGTTCAGACTTGGGCTCTGGATCATGTACACAGGGCCTCAGACCTTACTCATGCAAGGAAAATGACTGGCATAATGACTACATAGCAGGCTAGAGCTGATGAGGAAATAATCTGAGAACAGAGTCCACACAAGGAGCTGAAGGAGAAGAAAACATCCCACCACAGTCTGTGCCTGGAATAATTCCCACCCAGGTGTGGAAAACCTGTGTGCATGCTTCCCTGGCCTGGTTTGCAAGCCCTGCCCACAGAAAGGCTAAAAGAAACACAGGGGCATAGCTAGAGGGGAGCTGAAACTGGCTGTGATGGGCACAGGTCCAGGTGACCCTGCAGCTGGCAATGAGGTTCACCCCATCCCTATGTGCAGAAGCAGCCAGTCTGAAGAGAAGCTGTAACAGTCTGTTGTGCTGCTTTGTCGCAGTGATTAGTTTGCTCTGACAATGATCACGCAGGCGAAGTCTACAAGGAATTAAATCTACTCTTGCTCTTCTTCTGTATTTTGCAGATCTCCTCACATAGCGGCTTAGAAAGCAATGCCTGTCTGACAGCAGGACCACAGCAGTGTGCTTTGCTACATTTTGGGACAGCAAGGTGTTGAGGGATGAATAAGCGTTCTAGATTTTCCAGCTGGTTGCTACAGTCTTCCTCCCCTTCTCTGCAAAAGTAACCAGGGGAATGCAGAAAGTCCTTGGGAAGAAACAATGAAATGACGGCCAAGTGCCAGACACGGTGTGGATTTCAACTTCATGCAGAACATACCTCATAGGTCTTTCATCAGAAAATCAAAACCCTGGGTTATTTCCCAAAACCTCTCTGCCCCACTGTCCATTCCTCCAGAGTGTAAATGCCTGCCATCTTTGCCTTTTGGGCAGACCTTGCAGCTCTCAGGTGAGAAAAGACCCTTTGCATCAGGAAAAGACTCACAGTTTTTGTGTCACACATTTAGTGACCCTTCAGGCAACAACATTGAATGAGACCTGACTTAGGTGATACAGTGATGGCAAAATGTTACAAAGTAGCATTTTTTGCAGTAGTAGCTTTCTCCATGCTTCAGTGATTAGGTTACATGGGCAAAACTTGAGCAATACAGTGATCAACACCCACCTCAACATTTTGTCTACGTTAGCTCGGTGTATGTTTAAAGACTGCACTTTACAACTTCATCCCAACACAACATTTTAATGTTCTCTTCCATTCCTAGGAAGTAGGTTGTATTTATATGCTGCTGCTGAAGGTTGGTTCTGTGCTTCTTTTTTGAACCTGCCCCATTTTAGAAGAAACAGGCCATATAAAGTTTTCCATACCTTCCTTCTGAACATTTTGTGGATGCAGTGAAACTTTCTCTACTGAAAGTTTTGACTGTATAACCCTTCTGTGAATCTGTATTTTTCATTCAGATCCTTACATTTCAGCCAAAAGATGTATTTCTTTTAGCCAGTAAAATAGCAACCTACTTTAGGAGTTAGTTGCTAAAGTTAGTGAAGCTGATGTCACAATTATCAGCCTCTTTCCCCTCCGTATACAACCCAGAAACAGTACCTGTTCCCAGGTTCTAACACCACGGGGTCTCCTGTGTTACCAGAACACCAGATCCAAACACACAAAAGTTACAGCAGACGCCACACTGTAGAAACACTTAGACCTCCCCATCCTGGCCAACATAGCCTGTAAATATAGTGCTATTGTCTCGCTAGTGCACCAGACTTTGCTGTTCGGTACAGGTTAGACACTAAAACTATTTTGTACTGTGGAGGCTGGAGATCACAACACACCTCTCTGCCAGAGTGACTGTGAATCTGTGCAGCTTGCATTTAGCAAGACACCATTTCTCTGAAGGAAAAGCCTGGACAACAGGTTTCAAGAACACAGCTACATTTTTAATGGACATCAGGCAAGATTTTCAAGACCTGCCTGGATGCAGTCCTGAGTAATGTGCTCTAGGCAATCCTGCTTTAGCAGGGGAGTTGGACTAGATGATCTCTAGAGGTCCCTTCCAACTGAAAATTCTGTGATTCCGTGATCTTCCCCTGCTAGCCCCACCTCAAGGGGAGCACACAATGTCAGTTTCTATTTAGGAACTTCCATCTGCTTATGCACTAAGTCTGCAGAGTTCAGTCACTTACCCAAATCTAGACCCACTCTTAGTGAACATGCTACAACTTTTTCAGTTCCTCAGATCCATTCCAAAGAAAGATCCATTCCTTTTTCCATCCTTTTCTATAGGAAAAGAAAGCTCAAAAATTTCTAAGTCTCCATCCATACAGATAACCAGGTCAACTTCTTTCCATCAATAACTTTCCTTCTCTGATTAAAATAGAGAAATAAATTGTACATAGATAAATATCACTAACCAAAGATAAATACTGTTAACCAAAAGATTATAAAGGTGTAGGAAAATAAAAATATTTCTCTGCTAAAAGCAAATTCTGCCTACCTGCTACTGAGAAACAAATTGGTGCGATTTTGCTCAAGCATAAAGATCTCCCATTCCCAGCATCATAACAACTATTCAGATTGTGGCCATCAGCCACACTGGAAGCAAATGCTTGCCACACTGAAGTATACATTTCTCTTCTGTTGAGCTAAACAAAACAACTCTAGGAAGAGCTAGCTGCCTCTCACCAGCTTGCAGACCACTTTTCTCAAATGACTCAGTTACAGATTGGTAATCAGGTATTAGAGTGACATTTAGTACAGCTGCATTAAAGATTCATGAGTATGAAAATGCTCAACCCTTGATTCTTCTAGTTTTGACTAAATAACAGTTAGTTGTGTGCACAACTGTAGACTAGCATGTCCTAAAGGACCATAAATTCACTTTGCTTAAGGCAAAGTTATAGGATACAAGAGGCTCTGGTAATTAAATGACCACACAGTTAATTAAACCCACGTGAAGTACTTTTTAAATTATGACTACATCTGTCTGTTGAGGACACCAGATGTAATCGTCTAATGAGATTACAACCAGTAGCAAGATGTAGGGGAGGAGGGCTGCAGATAACCCACACCAGATTGATGCAAAGCCACACACAGTGTGTTGCTGTTTCCAAGTAAATTGTTAGTGAGGCTTAAAGTCTAAGCTCCTTTTAAGCTACAAATGCATTCATGAAGATGAAATTGCAACGGCTTGCTTTCTCCAAAAACCCCATCAAGGCTTTTGTCATAGCACTTAGACCATGTGCAGGCTAAAGTTGTTACTTTACCTCCACGGTTCTGTTTTGGTGATGAATTTTTCTTCGCCTAAATGACACACTACAGACAAATACTACACCAAAAATAATTACATCATTTCTGTATAGCATTTGAAAGTAAGTAATGATCTATGAACAAAACAGATTTAGTAAGATTAACACGTCTTCCAGTGAGAAATGGCAGATGACACTATTTTCACACATGCAACCTTCCATACAAGCAACAAGTACAAATCTCAGGGACGTGACTACGATAATGAGTTTCAGTAACGCTGAAATGGAAACAACTGTGCCTTGCTATCATTATTAAGCCTCTAAGCATGCCCAGTACATATCAGATGGCCTGGACGTGCACTAAGATAATACAGTTTGTGCCCTTTTATTTTTTTAAAGAATTCTAAAAAGCCAAGATACTCAGTATCATACTTTTTCTTTGAAATAGAACATCCAGTTTTAACAAAATGCTCATTTTCTTCAACTTTTAATTCTTCTCATGTTTTACAAGATATTTCCCTAGTAACATGACTATTGCTTCTGTCAGTTTTTGAGAGCAACTAATTTTTTTTTTTCCTGTTTAGTACTGGCAGACATTTGAGGTGGGCAGGAAATCCTGTATACCCAGCTCATTCTCTAACCAAACTCTCCCTTCTCCTCAGTTTTCCTTACAATGAAAACTCTGACTGAGAATGTCTTTTAAAGTCCATCACAAGCAATCCAGTTGTTTTTGGTTTAACTTTCTGGCCTGCAAATAATCTCTCAACAAATAATTCAACCCAATAGTCATTGAAACCTCTGTCAGAGGAAGGAGAGACAAAAGGCATAGTCTCCCTGAGGACAGACAGGTTCACTAGCTAAAAATAGTAGAGGCCAAAACTTTAAAGAGAGAGATGCAAAAAGAAAACCAAGACAGAGAGCAGCTGAGGTAGGCTTGTATGTCAGAAATGACTTGTGCTCTGTCAAGCATCGCAAAGGCAATCGGTGGACATGCAACTGCCTTGCACAGGCCACGTTACATTTGCTAGTCTGATAATCTTCTCCGTTTCTTCAAAAAGAGAGCTTTAGAAAGAAGTGTCCCTGTGGCTTGGCATGGGCAAGCACCCCTGAAGTCCTTTTACCTG